TGTTACTGTTCTTCGCAAACAACTCACATCTTTGTCAGTGAAGCTGAGTGCTCCCACATCTCTTCCTTCATAGTGCCCATCTACATTAAGATCCACAATTCGGAGATTAAAGTCAGAATTCAGAGATTAAAGTCAGAAATCTGAGATTAAAGTCAGAAAACTGAGAAGAAAGATAGAATTCTGAGATTAAAGTCAGAATTCTGACTGTTTTTCCCACATTAAACTGAAATCAAATTTAAAAATAAATTTACCTTTTTATTTTTTCAGTGGCCCTAATCCTCTTCTGTAATATGTAATAGAGGTCTAAAGGCAATTTTTGCTAGCCTTGGATTACAAAGCTGTGGCTGTTGTTAATGGCATATCAAAATGCTCTCTTTAATAAAAAAAAAAAAACCACTATTTCATGACTGGTGAACTAAAGTAAAAAGTGGAAAGCTTGTAAGACAAGATGAGAAACAACACTGCTTTGAAAAGTTCCCTTGTGAAATTAATCAAATTGCTCTCTGGCATGCCACTCAGCGACCAGGGCAATTATTCCCCAGGGATCTACGCTCACTCACCAAATCTGTAATCCTGTTGAGATATAGGGTCACTCAACTGTAATACATCAAAAAACGGTCTAAACACTTAGCAGTTTAACTTGTAGTCGATTAAATATTTGTTGAATGTCTATGATACAACACTTCACCAGTCAATGGGTATGATGGCATCATTTTTTATGTTTGAAAAGGAACCTTGTGAGCCAGTGGACATTTTGGTGGGAACTGAAGGGGAATAAATTGATTTTCTGTTGGAAAGGGGCAATCTGAGGGGACTATGGAGAAGATGGTGAATTGGGAGGAGTGCTTTGAGCTGTAGGAAAATGTTAAATGGGTTGGAAATGTATCAGGGGCCAGTTAAATTTCAAATGATTCTCTGGAACCCACTAATGGGGCTTTGGGCCATGGGTTTTTAGATTCTGAAGTCTCTTCCTTCCAAGGAGGATGAGTTGGATGTAGAGAATGTCCCAATACAATGACTAATGAGCCAAACACTAATGCATGCCACATTTGTCAGTATGTCTCTCTGTACCATTCTTTATTTGGTAAATCTAATTCCAATCTTTCACTTTGATATTTGCTGCATGACGCTACTTTGTAAAAAAAAAAACAACTTTGAAATATTTCACTGGAATTCTAGATGACCAATTTTGGAAGATATGTTAAAATGGACCACGGTTGAAGAGCTCTAGAACTAAGTACTAGCTGACATTTATTCCACAATTTGGGGCTTTAAGGAATCAAGAAGTGCTAAGAGCTGAAAGTAATATAGGGATGTATTAAACTCATGAAAGAGGGAACTTGATTCTTGAGTCTGAGATTAAATGTAAATATATTTTCTTTCATGGTAAAAATTACACTTGCAGCACTTAGTTTCACTCTAGCATGCCTTGCCCAAAAATCTTACTGTTGCTACAGTATCAGTTAATATCAGTTAATAAAAAGATGAATAAAGCAAAATACAGGGAATTCTGGCAGAATACAAGTCATAGAATCAGTTCCATACCTTTTGAATCAGTGGGTATAAAAGCTGTCCATATAGTCTGACTTCTTAACATTTTATAGATAGATAGATAGATAGATAGATAGATAGATAGATAGATAGATAGATAGATAGATAGATAGATAGATAGATAGATAGATAGATA